GAACTGTTTCACATCTTTCAGAGGTTCACCATCACAGTCACCAAACTTGTGGTCAACATCCATGGGAGTATCTGCTGGCCTTGCACCTAATTTGCCTGTGTCTTGTAATAGATCAAGGGTGTATTTCCTTTGAGAAATGAAGATACCCTTTTCTGAGCGGGCGACTTCAATTCCAAGGAAATACTTCAGGGGACTTAAATCTTTCACTTCAAATTTTGATGCAAGGAATTGTTTCAATTTTTGTATTTCTGAACTCCAACTTCCTGTAATGATGATATCATCCACATACACTATCAATACAACAACCTGTTCCTGACATCTCTTCACAAAGAGTGTATGATCAAACTGACATTGTTTGAAGCCCATCTGCTGAATTGCCATGTGAAACTTACTGAACCAAGCTCTAAGAAATTGTTTTAAACCATAAAGAGACTTTCTCAGCTTGCACACCTTATTTTYACTTCCCTTGGCACAGAATCCAGGGGGTTGAACCATGTATACTTCCTCCTCTAAGTCACCATTCAAAAAAAGCATTCTTTATGTCCAGTTGATGCAATTCCCAGTCAAAATTAACAACTAATGACAGGAGAACCCTAATTGAGTTTATCTTAGCTACTGGAGCAAAAGTCTCATCATAGTCAACCTCGTACACTTGAGTGTACCCTTTGGGTACTAATCTTGCTTTGTACCTTTCAACTGTTCCGTCTACCTTGTGTTTAAGTATAAACACCCACTTACACCCCACAGGGTCTTTCCCTTTTGGAAGATCCACCAATTCCCAAGTTTGATTTTTATGAAGAGCATTAATCTCCTCCTTCATGGCATCTGTCCATTCGGGGAATTTTAAGGCTTCTGCAACATTTCTGGGAATAGGGATGCAATCAACTGCAGATAGAAAGGCTCGGTATGAGGGGGGAAATGTGATCATAGGAGACAAACTGGGTAATGGGGTGTTTGGTAGTGCATGACCTGACTCSCTTTCTTTGAGCAATAGGAATGTCAAGGTCATCCACAGTAGGAGTAGGGGTATCAATAGGTGCAACATGGATTAGACTTACCTCCTGGGAGTCTAACAGTGTCGGTTGCTCAATGTTTGGCTGCTCCACATCTCTATCACATTGCTGATCTCTATGACGTGTACGTTGGAAGACACGAAAGGGAGCAAGGTCCGGAATAGAAGGAAGAGAGACTTGGCAGACCTGAACTTGCTTCTCCTCTTCCACACTACTACTCTCCCCCTGAGGAGAAGCAGGGAAGAATGGCTCAAACTCAAAGAGGGACACATCCATAGACACAAAAAACTTATGACTAACGGGATCAAAGCACCGATACCCTTTTTGAGAGGAGGGATGCCCCTGAAAAATACAAGGAATGGACCGAGGGTCTAACTTACCTCGAGACGGAGACAAATCATGGACAAAGGCACGACAACCAAAAACTCTCATGGGAATGGAAAATAAAGGGGACTGAGAGAACAACAACTGATGATGAGCATGTAGTTCAGCACTTTGGAGGGCATGCGATTGATGACATAAGCAGCTAAAAGTATAGCATCCATCCAAAACCTTTTTGGAACATTCATGTGTAACATTATCCCGCGAGCTACCTCAAGGAGGTGTCTGTTTTTCCTTTCTACAATACCATTTTGTTGTGGTGTTCTGGTGCATGAACTCCTATGAATAGATCCGTGGGAGGCAAAGAACTCATTGAGCTCACATGGAAGTATTCTTTTGCATTGTCGGATTGGAAGATTAGTATTTCAACATGGAACTACGAAAATACCATCCTCTGGAAGTCTTTCACAATCTTTGGAAATTCGTCTCTACTATGCATAGGAAATACCCATGTATAGCGAGAGTAGTCATCGATCAATGTGATAAAGTACTTATATCCGCCCACAGAGATTACAATATTAGGCCCCCATACATCAGAATACACAACATGAAAATGAACACTTGATCTTTTATTATTTGAGTGAAAAGTTGTTCTACATTGTTTGCTCAACTGACATGTTTGACACTGGAACTCTGACACTGAACATGACTTAAATAAAACCGGAAACAAAGACTTTACTATTTCAAAAGAAACATGACCTAACCGACTATGCC